TCCCTGTAGCCCCAGCTGTCCTGGAACTCACTATGTAGACCAGGCTGGCCTTGAACGCACAGAGATCGGCCTGCCTCTGCCTCCCAAGTGCTGGGATTAAAGGCGTGCGCCACCATGCCTTTATTTTTGTAGGTGGCTGTCACAGTATGAGTATAGAGGTCAGAGGACAGCTTTTGGGAGTCCTTTCTTTCCATCTTGGGGATTCTGGGACAGAACTCATGCCATCAGGCTTGGGAGCAGTCACCCTTATCCACTGAGACACCTTGCCAGCCACGAATACCATATATATTTTTTTTAATTTATTATTTTTATTTTATGTATATGTGTGTATTGCCTGCTTGTAGGTAAGTGCACCCATGTCATGCAATGCCCACAGAAGACAGAAGAGGCTGTCGGATCCCCTGGAACTGGAGTTATAGATACTTGTTAGCTGCCATTTGGGTGCTGGGATTTGAACCCAGGTCTTGTGCAAGAACAATCAGTGTTCTTAACCACTGAGCCATCTCTCCAGCCCCTAAAAGTCTTGAGGGGAGTTCACGGAGGTACGACCCGTGCTTTGATGTACCCATTACGTAAGCCTTCTGCTTCCAGGTGAAGGTTTGGATGAGCAACAGGGTATTATTGTTCACAGCGTTTGGCAGGAGGGCATGGAAAGGAGACAGTGAACGGTGTTGGATCCCAAAACTCGCAGATGAGCTGTGTGCTGTCCTTTTTTTAAAAATTTTATTTATTATTTTTATTTTATGTATATGCATGTATTGCCTGTGTGTAGGTAAGTGCACCCATGTCGTGCAATGCCCAAGGAGGACAGAAGAGGCTGTCGGATCCCCTGGAGTTATAAACCGTTGTTAGCTGCCATGTGGGTGCTGGGATTTGAACCTGGGTCTTCTGCAGGAACTACCAGTGTTCTTAACTCCTGAGCCATCTCTTCAGCCCCCGTTTTGTTTTTTATAAGAGAGCACGTTATGTAGCCCCGGCTGGCCTTGAGCTGGTTATGTTGCAGAGGATGACCTTGAACTCCTCGTGCTTCTGCCTCTATCCCCAAATGCTGAGATTACAGACATGTTCCCCCACATCCAACTCTAAACTTTGTTTTCTTCCTCTGGCCTGGAACTTGCTATGTAAACCGGGCTGGCCTTGATCTCACAGAGATTCACCCACCTCTGCCTCTCAAGTGCTGGGACTAAAGACATGTGCTACCATGCCCAGCGTCTAAGCTTATTTCTTAGACTTACTGCAAACCTCATTCATTGAGGTTATAAATGGCCTGTTATTTCATTATGTAAATTTAACTAACTCTCAGTTTCCTATTTCACTCTGCCTAGTATTATATATACACCATCAGTGAACATTCTTTTAAAATGTTTGTCCAGTGCCATAATATTTTATTATAAAATATTGGATAAAATCGCTGGGCATGGTGGCACATACCTTTAATCCCAGCACTCGGGAGGCAGAGGCAGGCGGATCTCTGTGAGTTCAAGGCCAGCCTGGTCTACATAGTGAGTTCCAGGACATCTGGGGTTACAGGGAGACCCTGTCTCAAAAAGATCAAAAAAAAAAAAAAAAAATTGGATAAAATCATAGGGTAAGTATAGTTTTAGGCATTTTCATATCTATTGAAATATTGCCATAAGAAGATATTCTTGGGGACTGGAGAGATGGCTTAGCAGTTAAGAGCACTGGCTGCTCTTGCAGAGGACCCAGGTTCAATTTCCAGCACCTACATGGAGACTAACAACCATTTGTAACTCTTGTTCCAGAGGATCCTACACCTTCTGGCCTCCATGGACATTGCACGCACGTGGTATACTTCATCCATGCAGACATAACACTCATACACATAAAATAAAAATAAAATTTAAAGAAGATAATTCTTAGTAGGGGCTGAGGATGTTGAGTGCTTGCCTAGTATACTAGTTAACTTTCTCATTGCTGTGATCAGATACCTGACAGAAGCAACTTAAGGAAGGGTTTTTTTGGACTTGGGTTTGAGGGTCTAGTCTATGGTGGTGAAGCCATGACAGCAGTGCTGAGGGCCTAGTCAATGGTGATGAAGCCATTTCAGCAGGGCCGAGGGCCTAGTCTGTGGTAGTGAAGCCATGACAGCAGGGCTGAGGGCCTAGTCTATGGTGATGAAGCCGTAATAGCAGGGCTGAGGGCCTAGTCTGTGGTGATGAAGCCATGACAGCAGGGCTGAGGGCCTAGTCTGTGGTGATGAAGCCATGACAGCAGGGCTGAGGGCCTAGTCTATGGTGATGAAGCCATGACAGCAGGGCTGAGGGCCTAGTCTATGGTGATGAAGCCATGACAGCAGGGCTGAGGGCCTAGTCTATGGTGATGAAGCCATGACAGCAGGGCTGAGGGCCTAGTCTATGGTGATGAAGCCATGACAGCAGGGCTGAGGGCCTAGTCTATGGTGATGAAGCCATGACAGCAGGGCTGAGGGCCTAGTCTATGGTGATGAAGCCATGACAGCAGGGCTGAGGGCCTAGTCTATGGTGATGAAGCCATGACAGCAGGGCTGAGGGCCTAGTCTATGGTGATGAAGCCATGACAGCAGGGCTGAGGGCCTAGTCTATGGTGATGAAGCCATGACAGCAGGGCTGAGGGCCTAGTCTATGGTGATGAAGCCATGACAGCAGGGCTGAGGGCCTAGTCTATGGTGATGAAGCCATGACAGCAGGGCTGAGGGCCTAGTCTATGGTGATGAAGCCATGACAGCAGGGCTGAGGGCCTAGTCTATGGTGATGAAGCCATGACAGCAGGGCTGAGGGCCTAGTCTATGGTGATGAAGCCATGACAGCAGGGCTGAGGGCCTAGTCTATGGTGATGAAGCCATGACAGCAGGGCTGAGGGCCTAGTCTATGGTGATGAAGCCATGACAGCAGGGCTGAGGGCCTAGTCTATGGTGATGAAGCCATGACAGCAGGGCTGAGGGCCTAGTCTATGGTGATGAAGCCATGACAGCAGGGCTGAGGGCCTAGTCTATGGTGATGAAGCCATGACAGCAGGGCTGAGGGCCTAGTCTATGGTGATGAAGCCATGACAGCAGGGCTGAGGGCCTAGTCTATGGTGATGAAGCCATGACAGCAGGGCTGAGGGCCTAGTCTATGGTGATGAAGCCATGACAGCAGGGCTGAGGGCCTAGTCTATGGTGATGAAGCCATGACAGCAGGGCTGAGGGCCTAGTCTATGGTGATGAAGCCATGACAGCAGGGCTGAGGGCCTAGTCTATGGTGATGAAGCCATGACAGCAGGGCTGAGGGCCTAGTCTATGGTGATGAAGCCATGACAGCAGGGCTGAGGGCCTAGTCTATGGTGATGAAGCCATGACAGCAGGGCTGAGGGCCTAGTCTATGGTGATGAAGCCATGACAGCAGGGCTGAGGGCCTAGTCTATGGTGATGAAGCCGTGACAGCAGGGCTGAGGGCCTAGTCTGTGGTGATGAAGCCGTAATAGCAGGGCTGAGGGCCTAGTCTGTGGTGGTGAAGCCATGTCAACAGGGGCTTGAGGCAGCTGCTGGTCACATTGATCTTTAGTCAGGAAGCAGAGCCATGAATGCCAGTCTCAACTGACTTTCAGTCCAGAACCCCAGGCCATAGAATGGTGCCAAGCACAGTTAAGGTGGGTCCTCCCTCCTCACTTAAGCCTAATGTATATCATTCCTCACAGGTACCCAGAGGCTTGTCTTCTGTATGATTCTAGATTTCTGTCCTGTTGGTAATCCATATTAACCATCACATCTAGCAAACACAAAACCCTGAGTTTGAGCTGGGTGTGGTGATGCATGCTTTTAATCGGAGCATTCAGGAGACAGAGGCATGCATGAGGTTTGAGAGTTCAGAACAAGCCTGTACTTCATATCAAGACCCTGTCTGGAAAAAACAACCAAAAAGTATGAATGACAAGTTGTAACTTGGTAAGCTGCTGTAAGGCTAGCCAGTGGCAGGCATCATTTACCTCATTTATTTATGCTGTTTTTTTCTTAACTTTTATGTGTATGAGTGCACCTGTGTTGTGCAGTGCCCAAGGAGAACAGAAGGCGGCTTTGGATCCCCTGGATCTGCAGTTACGCACCATTATTGGCCACAGTGTGGGTGCTGAGATTCAAACCAGGGTCTTCTGCAAGAACAGCCAGTGCTCTTAAATACTGAGCCATCTCTCCAGCCCTTATCCTTTTTTTTTTAATTCAACTATGATTATAGACCTATGCCAACATGAGTGCCAGGTACCATGATAGAGTCTAGGTTGAAAATGCCTGGGAAACTCAATCAAGACTAAATATTAAGGGGCTGGAGAGATGGCTCAGCAGTTAAGAGCACTGGCTGCTCTTCCAGAGGACCAGGGTTCAATTCCCAGCACCCACATGGCAACTAACAACTGTCCGTGACTCAGTTCCAGGGGATCCAACACCCTCTTCTGGCCTCTGTGGGCTTTGCATGACATGGCTACACTTTCATACATGCAGGCAAACACTCATTCACATAAAATAATGTTTTGTTTTTACTAAAGGCGTGCGCCACCATGCCCAGCTCAATTTCTTTTTAAATTGAAAAATATTATTCCAGGTGTTGTGGCACATGACTTTAATCCCAGCACTTGAGAGGCAGAAGCAGGTGGATCTCTGTGAGATCAAGGCCAGCCTGGTCTACATAGCAAGTTCAAGGCTAGCTGGGACTACAGGGAGACCCTGTCTCAAAAAAAAAGTCATAGTTTTCCATGAGGTTTTTGGAGGCTGGCTGGTCTCTTGGTTCCCTATCCATGCCTCAAAGACAGTTTACTGACCTATAATGTCCCATGTGCTCCTTCCTCCAGGAGGTTCATATGTTGACCTTCAGCTGATCCCAGTTCCCAGGCAAGGCAAGGCTTACTGTTCTCCTGCTCAGATTTCCCTAACATCCATACAGAATGTTCTACTTCCTGAGTAATATGATGGAATCGCAGTATTACAGTACTATTCTTTGTTGTTTGTTCTGTGCCAGGCATTATGCATGTCTTATTTATCCACATTTAACAAATAAGGACACTTAAGATCAAGAGAGGGCTCAGTCTCATTAGACCTGAGATTCAAATCTACCACTCAGCCTAGGCTCTCTTCCCTGCTAAAATGGCATGGATCCCCTTGACACGTTGGGGGGGCGGGGTACATGTTCATGTGGGTATGAAAGAATCTGTGTGTGCATGTGCCTGGAGGCCAAGGGACCCCCTCAGGTGGTGGTCTCATGAGCCATCTACCTTGTTTTTTGAGTGTCTCTCAACTGGTTCTGGGCCATCTACCTTGTTTTTTGAGTGTCTCTCAACTGGTTCTGGGGCTTATCAATTAGACTAGGCTGTCTGGCCAGCAAGCCCCAGAGATCTGCCTTTCTCTGCTTCTCCTGCACTGATATTACAAGTGCATGCCACCACGCCTGGTGTTTTAGGATGCACAGGATTGAACTCAAGTCCTTATGCTCCTGACAATTTTTGTCTCCCCAGTGCTCCTGACAATTTTTGGTCAGCCTGGTTTGCCTTGATCTTTTGATGAAACAGCCAATCAAATCTTTCAACAGGCCTACCTTAGCCCTTTCTACATCCCCAACTAGGATTGGAGGGCTCTACCTGCCTCCTTCTCCAGTCTGAGATGGGGAGAACGGTCACAAGCAGGTCTGTGATCCCCACAGTACACTCCACCCTGTGCTTCACCTTCCAGAGCCCAGCCTGCAGCCATCTCCTAGGCACTTGCTTCCTTTCTTTGCTTCTCTCTGCAGACTGAAGGTTCCTCTGGGGCCACAGAAAAAATGAAGAAAGGGCTATCTGACTTCTTAGGGGTAATCTCGGACACCTTTGCTCCCTCACCGGACAAAACCATTGACTGTGATGTCATCACCCTGATGGGCACACCCTCCGGCACAGCTGAGCCCTATGATTGCACCAAGGTATTCACTGGCAGCCTTCCCTGGGAATGCTAGGCTTCACCTCCCATCCTTTATTCACAGAACATATGTTCAGGCCAAAAATATGTACATATTTGTAGAACTAAGGTGGAGAGCACCAGTAAGAAGATAATTACTATATTTCTAACCCATAGTCTCATCACCCAAAGATACCGCTGATTCCTCAGCATGTAGCCTTTTTTTGTTCACAAACATAGTACCTGTTTGTTAGGTTTTTTGAGACAGGGTTTCCCTGTAGCCCCAGCTGGCATGAAACTTACTAGTAGACCAGGCTGGCCTGGATCTCACAGAGATCCGCTGGCCTCTGGCTCCCCAGTGCTGGGATTAAAGGCATTCACCAGCAGGCCCAGCTATATTTGGGTTCTTTAAGACTGATTTCTGCTAGAACTACACATACCAATTACATCAACAACTACAGCAGTGTGTTTGTGCTACTCTAGTTCCTGTTTCATGGATCACTTTCTCCTGAATCATAGGGTAGTGTCATGGCAGCTGAATCTTTGATGCATCTTACCATGTGGAATTTCCATTCCAAATGTGCATGGTTTTCAGCACTGGCATTGGTGACACCACTTACTGAACACGTGCCAGAATTCTAGGTTATGAAATGATAAGATTTTTAAGCAGTCACAGTGACTCATCACAAAATCACTTGCTCAGGTTCTGAAGCTGACAGCCCATGCTTCATGGAATGCTGAGGAAGCAGGGCTTTCTGCTTATCAGCTAAAGCTCTCCCTCTGTGGCCCTAGTGGAACAGCTTTCTCGTGCATTTGACAGAGTGGCTCTAAAATTTAGAAATTCTTTTCTTACCTTCTCCCCTCAGAGCTTCATTGTAACTCAGTCCCCCTCCTGTGTTGGCCTTAACACGTGCTCAGAAAGTATTCTATCACTAAACTACATCCCAGCCCAAGATATTGTTAATGAATAATTTTAATTTGGGGGTAATTGCATTATCTTACAATTTGCCCTTACATTTGGGCTTTATTAACATAATTGTATTTGACATTTTTCAAATTCACATACTTCAGATGGAGTTTATACATATAATTTTATAATCTACTTACTATATTTTCTTAGTTCTCAGGGTTGGAATACCTGGACTATTTTTCTGAAAGCCTTTATTTTGGGGGTCTTTGCCCAGTGCCACTATGATCACTATGTTCAACTCCTCAGAATGTCTGTTCTTTTCTCTGTTGCTTACAGGCTCGCCTCTATAGTCTGCAGTCAGACCCTGCAACCTACTGCAACGAACCTGATGGTGAGGGGGTAGCAGTGGGGGTGAGCTTTTGGGGCACATAGAGCAAGAGGTTCTGGGCTCTTACGGATTCTGGGGGCCCTCTGACCCAGGTAGTACAGGCCAAGCACTCCTCTACATTCTGGAAATGGAATAGGACCAATATATGCCTTATACCCTAAGTAGGTTGATAGTCCCTTTCCCTCCCTGAATCCCAGGTATCTTCATCCTGACTCTGACTTCTGAATAAACTTTGCTCCTCTGACCCCTCATCCTCTCTGCTCAGCTTCCCTACCATCCCTGCAGCCCTTTGCTTTGGCTCCTGACTACTAAGCCCCTATTGTTCAGTGAGTCCCATCCTGGAAACTAGAGACCAGAATTGAGTCAAGCTGCCCTTTCCTCTAGAGCCAGCTATAAAGAGGGAGAAACAGGAACTGAGGAATCACACAGAGGTAGTAAAACCTTCAGAGGGAGTGGCAGTGTGAGTGTAGCCAAGCCTAGGGAGCCTAGAAAGTGATGTTTGAATCCAAGTTCTAAGAATGAATTAGAAAAAAATTAGTTTTGGTTTTTCGTTTTGTTTTGTCTTTTTGAGACAGGGTCTCTTTGTAGCCCCAGCTGGCCTGGAACTCACAGAGATCTGCCTGCCTCTGCCTCCCGAGTGAGTGCTGAGACTAAAGGCGTGCGCTACCACACCCGGCTGGTTTTGTATTTAAGAGTAGGAAAGAATATTCAGACAAAGGCAACAGTGTTTTTAAAAATCCAGAAAGAACAGGGAGCTCCTGTCAGTGACACTAGATTAACTAGTGTATGAGGAAGTGAAGGCTGTTGGGGAGCCTGGTCAGGAAGGGCTTTGAATACCAGATTAAGTGGCTTGAGTTCGGTTGTGAAAGACTCACAGTAGTGGTTCTAAACTGTTCTTTAGTCAAAAAGGTCTGTGGCGGTGTACACCTTTAAAACCAGCACTTGGGAGGCAGAGGCAGGTAGATCTGTAAGATCAAGGCCAGCCTGGTCTAAATAGTGGAGTTCCAGATGGGGCTACAGGAAAACACTGTCTCCAAAAAACGTCTGTCGAAATCCTGGTAGAAGAGCATACTCCTATAATCCCAGCTACTTGGGGCAGGGGTAGTAGTGGTACCTAAGACCGGAGTATTGAAAGAGTGAGACCAGGCTAGGCCATCTAATGAGTTCAAGGCCTGGGTAACTTAGTAAGACCTTGTCTCAAAATAAAATTTGAAAAGGGCTTGGGATATAGTTCAGTGACAGGTATTTGCCTAGCATATGCAAGTTTCTATGTTCAGTCTCTAGTACCAGAAATAAAAATGAAAATGATAGCACTTGATAAAATTTTGTGTACAAGTATTTGAAGGTCATATGTGGACTCTAGTGTTAAAAGGTCAGGTAGGGAACTGTTAGAGAGTTTGGAGACCTGCAGTGATGAGTTCTGTATTTTGTAAAGTAGCCCTTGAGGCAGCATTGTGAAGGGTGGGACAGAAGGTGAGGTAGGTGTCTCCTGGGCATCCCTCATCAGAGGCCAGGCCAGAGCCTGGGGTGAGGCAAGCTGGATAAAGAACATAGGAGATGCTGAAGAAGTAGAATCAGAGCATGTGGAGATGGAACGCTAGGGTGGCTTCTGGGTTTGCAGTGGGCAAGCAATCGGGAACCATATTGAGTGCATGTGCTTGCAGCTGGGTCTGGAGCTCAGGAGTCTCAGGGTTATGAAACGACAGGAAGACACAGTGGGAAAGGTGAGGAAAGGAAAACAAAGAACCCATAAAGACCCAGAGTATCCACAGAAGTAGGAGGAAAAGGACAAAAGAGGGGCTGCCAGGGGAAGGCAGTGGCTCCTAGTCAGAATGTGTAGCACAGTCACGTGAGGGAGGAGAGAGACATAGCTGTTGACTCTGACAACGTGGGTCCACCTGAGACCTGAGAATAGCTATTTCAGAGAGAGGGCATTCAGTAGAGTAGCCAGATGCAGTGAACTAAAATGCCAACAGAGATAATAGACTGTGGTATTTTCTGGAGATTTTGTCCTAGTAGAACCCACCCACCCTATCACCTTGCCTGACTCTTCACCTTGAACCAAATGTCTTGGGGTTTTTTGGTCTTTCTGAGACAGGATCTCCCTGCATAGACCAGGCCTAGAACTCACAGCGAGCCACCTGCCTCTACCTCCCAAGCCCTGGGATTAAAGGCAAGCATCACCACGTCTGGTTCAGTTTTCTTTATTGTTCAAGTCCAGGCTTAAGTATGTTCTGAAGTCCCAGTCTTTCCCCAGACCCAGGGAACTGACCATCAGCGTCTGTCCCTCTGCAGGGCCCCCGGAATTGTTTGACGCCTGGCTTTCCCAGTTCTGCTTGGAGGAGAAGAAGGGGGAGATCTCAGAGCTCCTTGTAGGCAGCCCCTCCATCCGGGCCCTCTACACCAAGATGGTGAGGGCCCAGCCAGCAGGACCTCAGCTGGCTCCAAGCTTGAGGTGTCGGGAAGTGGGAGGGCCATGTGCAGTGGGTGACCCTATAGAGCCAGATGGGTCATGTGCTGAGCCAGGAACGTGCCTGGAAGAGACTGATTTGCCAGGCTTCTGGCAGTCAGACAATGGTGAGAAATGGAAGGACCGGCAAAGTCTGATGGGAGTTCTTTTCTCCTTCCTTGGCCAAGCTGGGCCTGGAAGGTGGGTCTGGCTAAAAATAAGGTGGGGGTGGGAAGGGCTTTTGATAATCACTGTAAATCCACTTCCTGTGTCTGAAATCTAGAGCAGCTGGGATCAGGTGATAAGACAGGGACGCAGACCCCACACATCATTCCCAATTTCTCATCTCTGTTTTCCCCTCCCGCAGGTTCCAGCAGCTGTTTCCCATTCAGAATTCTGGCTTCGGTATTTCTATAAAGTCCATCAACTTGAACAGGTATTCTGGTCTAGCTTGGGAAGACCCCTGCTCAGCCCAGGGGAAAGCAGGCTGGATTTTTGTCAAGGCAAGAAAGGGTTGGAGACTGCAGTCCTTTCTGGAGGTGTCGAGGGTTCTGAGGTCAGGATCAGGGTAAAGAAGGTGCCCTGACCTCCTGCTTATTACTGTCTCACCATCAGGAACAGGCCCGGAGGGATGCCCTGAAACAGCGTGCAGGGCAGAGCATCTCTGAAGAGCCTGGCTGGGAGGAGGAAGAAGGTAAGAGGTGTTGAAGTGTGATGGGCAAGTGACAAGCCTGCCTGGTACTCTAGAAAGTCTGCAGAGACATGGTGCCCCAGCGAAGAGTAGGAAATGAGGACAGTGCATGTGCTGAGCATAGTCAGAGCTAAGGAAGTGATGTGTCCCAAGGCTGGTAGAGCCCTGAGCTTGGGTACAGAAATCACATATATATCAGCTGGAATAAATAGCCCTGTCATACATGAGCCTGAGGTTGCATAGTTACTGAGAAGCACACTAAAAATATACCTTCTATATAAGATTGTGTGATTGTGACTCAAGATGTGTTTGTGTTGTATGTCCATCCTTCATTAAAATTATGTGTGTAGTCCTTGCCAGAAGTTCACTATCCCTTTTTACCAATAAGCCAGCAAGTTGAAAGTGTAGTGGCCTGCACAGTCATATGCCTAAGATAGAGCAGAGCCTGATCTGAACCCAAAGCTGACCACTTGGCCTTGCCTTGCCAAGCTCTTACACTGTCTCCAACTGTGTTGCTAGCATCCCAGCCTGGCCCCTTGAGTAGGTGAGACTGACTGGGTGGGGGGTGTTCAAAAGAATGATGATGGACTAGCAGGGAGGGACATAAGTGCTAGTCTTCATTGGAGTTAACCTCAAGGGATGTCCATGCTGCAAGGTTGTCTTGGGGCTGACTGATTATACTCTCTCCCCCACCTTTCTCTCACTTCAGAGGAGCTTGAGGGCATTTTACCATCTCCAAAAGAAGCAAAAGTTACAAAAGAGACCAAAACTTCCACATCCCCTGAAGGTGGGCCTGGCACCCAGAGTCCCTGTGTAGAGACTTCAGTGGAGCCCCCTACAGAAGTGACTCCATCAGAGAGCAGCGAGAGCGTCTCCCTTGTGACACAGATTGCCAATCCTGCCACCGCACCTGAGGCACCAGTACTGCCCAAAGACCTGTCCCAAAAGCTGCTGGAGGCATCTTTGGAGGAACAGAGCCTGCCTGAGGATGAGGGAGAGACTGGACCCCCACCACCAGTTCCCTCCAAGCCCCCAATCCCTGCAGGCCGCCCTAGCGGCCCAGAGCCCAGGCCTCCAGCTAGAGTAGAGACTCTGAAGGAGGAGGCACCCACAGACTTACGAGTGTTCGAGCTGAACTCAGACAGTGGGAAGTCTACACCCTCCAACAATGGCAAGAAAGGTAAGTCTACAGGCCCAAGCCCAAGAGGTTGTGTAAGCAGGAAAGGCAAAAATTGCCACCATAGATGTATCATGTCTTGGTGTCCCTTGTCATGATCTTAGGAGCAAAGATCCTTCATTTGTGATACTTAAGATAGCTGCTCTGCATATCGCCATATTTATTATCTAACATGCACATAGTCTTTGAAAGAAGGGCTCGTTTTACAGTTACTGGGGTCTTTTTGTTTGGTTTGGCTTTGGTTTTTTTGAAGGTGTCCCTATATAGCCCAAGCTGGCCTTGAACTCACTGTGTAGCCCAGATTGGCTACACAGTGATCCTTTAGCTCCCAGATCCTTAGCCTCCCAAGTGCTAGGATTACAGGTGTGACTCACCATACCCAGCATTGTTGGCATCTTATCAACAAAGTAAGGTTTAGGCTAGACCCTGTGCTACCCTTTTTTTATGGTTTTTCATTTTTCTTTACAGCTCACAACCCAGTGAGGTTGATACTATTTCACAAATGAGAAAAGTAATTTCCAGAAATGTTAAGTATCTTTTTCAAATTCATATAACTAAGAAGAGAAAAGCTTAGATTTAGACCCAGGTCTGTGCCCATCTTGAGTCCAGGACCAAGCCCTTTACTATATTTGTGCTCATTCCTATCCTTTTAAACAATTCAGCCTTGCCGCAGGTCAGGAATCCCTATGATGTTAGAGGTCTTCTCTCTTGTGGAACCTTGGGGAATTCAGTGAGCCTTCATTATTATTATGAAGCATGCAAACCTTCCATGTAGTTTACAGAATGAAACAAACACCTACAAACTTAGGGTGACCCAGCTTCAACAATAAAGCTGTAGTGTCTTGTCTGTGTGATGGAAATTTAGACTGGAGACCAAGTTTGTGTCAAAGAGCAACATTTTTTTTTTTTCTTGGTGTTTTTGAGGCAGTATCTCCCTGTACTGTAGCCCCAGCTGGAACTCACTATATAGACCCAGGCTAGCCTTGAACTCACAGAGATCCACCTGCCTCTGCCTCCCAAGTGCTGAAATTAAAAGTGCACCACCACACCCGGCCAGAGAACAGCATATTTAACTCCAGGACTTAAAAAACTGTTAGCTTTTTTGTCTTTGCCAAAAGTCCCTCTGCAGATTGCTACCCCTTGACAGACATGCTGCTGTCACTGCTGATGCTCAGTGCCAGCCACAGCTAACGCTGGTTCAGCAGGTTGAGGCCTGGCCTGCTGCAGAGCAACAGTAGATGGTAAATAGACCCACCCAGCCTTACACTGCTCCCTGACAGAAGCTTCATAGTTTCCAGTGCTTCTCTTTTGCTTTGTTTGATGAGGTCATCCATTGAGCTCTTACCCGCTCTTTATCAGTCACTGAGGTGGGAGGGGCAGAAGTGACAATCTTTGTGATGAAACGTGAAGCAATGCAGTGTGGGACAGGCTTGATACTAGAGGCATTCAGAGAACGAAGGCATCTTTGAGCATGTGCAGTGATTCACCAAGGAGACAGAGGTGGAGAGTTGGGGCAGGTGCTGGGGAGTGCTAGTCCAGATTGAGGGGTCATATTTAAGGGCTTGTAACTACAGCCTCTTTTCCATGTCTTCTCCTGGGCAAGGGAGATACAGATGGGTGGGATGTTTGGATCTTAAATACAGTTTAAGAACCTAGCATCTTAAACCAGAATCAGAAGTTTGCACTGGGGGCCATAAAGCAGCAGACCACAGAGGCCAAGGACTCAGAATCTGGAGGACAAACCCCAACTTTACTCATAAGCCATGTGACTTTAGAAGTTACTGATTTTCTCTAAGCCTCTGTTTACTCCTGTATAAATTGAAGGTAATTGTTTCATGATAGCCCTTAATCAAAGGAGAAAGTTAGGCAGAGCCCTACTTTGGGAAGATGGTGGTGGTAATGATAGGTAACATTCTCTGAGCATTTTCTGTGTCTAGACCTGTGCTAAGCACTGGATATGCCTGTCACTCAATTCTCACAAAGCCCTCTTAAGATCTTGCAGTATCCCTAGTTCTACTAGTAAGACACTAACATCACTCTCCCGGGATCACTAAGATCACTTAGAAGAGTATGAATCAGTACAAGTGGAAGAACACATGGTGGGCCTGACAGGTGTGGGATGGCTAGACCCCTTTGAGATGCTGGTCATGAATTTTGAATGAGACAAGTCATCCCTGCTGGACCTTTTTTTCTTCAGTTTTTGTTTTGTTGAGACTCGCTACGTAGCCCAAACTGGCTTGAACTCTGGGTCCTCTTCCTCTGCCTCCTAAGTGATGGGGTTACAGCCAAATGCCTGCAGGCCTGGGAGCCCTTGTACTTTTGTCCAGCCACATTGAATTGCTTTAGTGTTTTAGTGACGGTACAGTTTAGACAAACAGTTGGATTTCACCAGAGTTTAGCCTGGTAAAAAAAAAGAGAAAAAGAAAAAACCCTGGTATATGTAAGAAATGAAAGCCAGGCCTGATGGCACACACCTGTTCTCAGTATTAGGGAGGCAGAGGAAAGAGCAGGAGGAGCTCAGTTTCATCCTTAGCTGTGTGGTGAGCTTGAGGGCAGGCTGGGCTACATGAGACCTTCCTGAAAACAAAAGAGCACAAGGATGGCTCTTGGAATCTTTTCAGAATAAGGAAAGGAATAAGGGATAGTGAAACAGAGTTAAAGAATTATGTGTGAGCCAGGTGTGGTGGCACAGGCCTTTAATCCCAGCACTCGGGAGGCAGAGGCAGACAGATCTCTGAGTTCAAGGCCAGCCTGGTCTACACAGTGAGTTCCAGGACAGCTGGGGGCTACAGGGAAGCCATGTCTCAAAAAGACCCCCCCTCCAAAAAAAAAATTATATGTGACCTGGAAAGATGAACATGGCTCAGGGTTAAGAGCACATACGGCTCTTGCAGAGGACTCAAGTTTGATTCTCAGCACCCACATAATGAAACTCATAACCACTTATAACTAAAGATCCATAGAATCTGATGTTCTCTAGCCTCCAAAGGCACCTGCACTCACAAACATATACCCACACAGAGACACACATAATTAAAAATTAAGTAAATTCTTTGGGTTGGGGGCAAGTCAGGATCTCACTATGTAGAACTGGCTGGCCTAGAACTACACAAATCAGACTAGCCTCAAACTCAGAGATCTCCCTGCCTCTGCCTCCCAAGTTATGAAATTAAAGGCATGTGCCACCATGCCTAGCCCATAAAATAAATCTCTTTAAAAATAAAATAAAATGAAACAAATCTTTAAAGAAAAATATGGTTCCTGATACACGAGATTATCCTCTGTCTTTTTTTTGGGCAGGGGTATTCCTTTTGAGACAGGGTCTCCCTGTAGCTCCAGCTGTCCTGGAACTCACTATGTAGACCAGGCTGGCCTTGAACTCACAGAGATCTGCCTGCCTCTGCCTCCCCAGTGCTGTGATTAAAGGCGTGCGCCACCACGCCCAGCTATCATCTGTCTTATACATACATGTATACACACACACATATTGTTCTTATTTGCCCTTCCTTGCTGGGAGGAAATCTTAAAAGATTGATGTTATGTGGCTGGAGAGATGGCTCAGCGGTTAAGAGCACTGACTGCTCTTGCAGAGGACCCAGGTTCAATTCCCAGCACCCACATGGCGGCTACGAACCATCCTTAACTCCAGTTTCAGGGGAATCCGAAGCCCTCTTCTGACCTCTGTGGCATTGCACGACACGGGTGCACTTACTTACACGCAGGCAATACACTCATACACATAAAATAAAAATAAAGGGCCAGGCGAGGTGGCGCACACCTTTAATCCCAGCACTTGGGAGGCAGAGGCAGGCGGG